CGAGTTCCAACCCACTGAAGTATGACATAAGCAGAACAAATACAAGTAAAAATTAAAAAAATATGTGCATTTATTCATATATTGTCACCTTAAATAAAGCATATTTGACCTAAATAAATAGGCTATTATCAATTATCAAATAAAGTTGAAAACCGAGTATAACATTATATTTAATTTAAATATATACATAGGCATAGCAGGAGGGGGGGGGTGAGAATAAGAGAAATTCCCCCCCCCCCCTTCAAAAATTTATCACATTTTGTGAATATCATTTTAAGCTAATAAAAAATATCCTACTTAGTCCTCCCTCCACTCCTTGTCCCCCAAAAAGGTAAGCACACATCTTAAACAATAATTTGAAAGAAAGAATGTAAAAAACTAATATTTTTTTAAACTAAACTATTGATTATAATTCACACTTATCTGGCAAAAAGCATTTATATATAAAAAAGTGAAACCATTTCGAGAAAGAAATATAAGCCAAAGATAAGTACAAAAGTGAAATATATTATAATTAATATTAATAGATTCATAAAATTACTAAATAATATAATATATCAAATATAATTTTTTAAAAATATTAAATTTAGCCATGAAGCTTAATTGATTTTTATTATAAATTATTTCATAACCCTAATTAAATAAATATAATCATTTATTAATTAAAAATTAACAAATTTATGAGCTCAAAATCACTAATCAACTATATTATTCATTTTTAATTTTAATATCCATGCCTTTTCTTAAAAATATTTCCAACGTCCAAACAAAATTTCTTTATAAAATACATATAGTTGATAATCCTCTATTATATAGAATTGGTTACAAAATATTAGGTAAAATGATACTTTTACAGACATATTTGACAGTTATAAAATATATTAAGTTAATATTTTAAAATTTTTGACTAAATGCTTTTGATAATAAATATGAGCAGTAGCATACAACTCTTTAATACCATCTATTTATTTTGAATAAAAAATATTATTATAAATCATCATATATTTATCCCACAATGAATGTAATCCTTATTAGATATCTTTTTTCATTCTCTTTTTTTACGTTTTTAGCAAAGCTATTTTTTCTTCTTTAAAAACAGTTTTGAGTTAAATTTTTAATACTAGTATATAAGACATCAAGAGGTGGCGACAATAATTTATAAAATTTTAATTTCTTTAATCATATCACTCTGGTCCTTACTTTCTAGTCACTATATGATTCATTTCTAACATGGCATCCTTACCATGCAAATAACTCATGTCTTCCATATATTTGCATAATTATTTCTTCAAAAGATTTTTAGTGTTTTATTTTAATCACTTTATCTAACATAATAAACACTGATATGAGTATACAACGTGATGTCGTGGCTATGATTGCAAATCAACCAGTTGCTATAATTGTATGGCTATGTAATTTAAGATTATTACTTCTGATGCTGAGAGCATTTGATTGCATAATTTAGAGGAACAACGGTCAGCTGTCTAGTCGCTTATATATTATTAAAAATGGAAGAAATCTTTTAGAAATTTAATATCTCACAATAATTATCGATTACTTATATAGCTTCCATAACATCTAAAAGATAAATTCTTATGATTTGACTAGTCTTTTCTATTCTCTTCTTCAAAAATTATTGATTTTGTAAGGACAACAAATTTTTTTCTATTAGTCCATTCTATAAAACATTGTCTAAAATGGGAACACAACGTTATATATTAGTATCATGACCTTTGTCAATGTAAGTTGCTAAGAATTAATCAGAAATTGCAAATTACAATTAAAAAGTGTAATAAATTAATATAAAAATTTAACCTCCTATCTTGTAAAAATATTTTATGACTATATATAGACTAGGGAAACCCGGCCGAAGGCCGAGCAAAAGCCAAAGGCTCACCCAAACTGGGGTCTGGGGATTCGCCCCCAAAAATTTTTTAATTCCCTCTCCTCTTAGAAAAATTCTGGCTACGCCTATGAATATATATAATAATAATGAAGATATTATATAGGCATATCAATAAAATCAGAATATGAAAAATTAATCACAAAATGTAAATTTTAGAAAATCGTTAATTTGGGAAATTAAAATTACGTAAATAAATAAATGACAATAAGATTGAAAATAACATGTGATTCTAATTGACATCTTGCTAAACAAAATTATTACAGAACATACTTTTAATATTTAATTTTCGGGTCGGGTTACCACTTACTTCCAACTTGAGTCCGAGATAGTCTTAATAACCGAGCTCGACCCTGGATCTGTAACTAATAACATTTTAAATATGGTAAATATATTTTGTAACTAATTACATTTTTGACAGGGTAATTTTTTAACAAATCTCTGTTGTATTTGACATAATTTTGCAACACTAATAATAATTAACATTATACTATTATATATTCAAAATATGATGAAGAACCTTATTTCGATTCCTGTGTTACAAGTTGTAAGGAACCTTTTGTATATCATCCAATATCTGTTCAATGTTGGGTGATTTTTAATAAAACAGGTAAATTTCAACAAAATATTGATCATTGTTCCACATACAACTCAACACCTATGATACCCACTAGAAGGAATGACGTAATTAAATAAAAAAAAATTAGTATTCATATATTAATTAATAAATAGGTAATATTTTGTGGTTAAAAAGAGAATTTGTAAAATTTATGTTGAGAATCCAGAAATAAAATTAAAATCTGGCTCTAAATACTTTGATTATGAAAATTGCGAGTTGCGAATGCATTTTATTTGCTCGGCACTTTTTATTGTTGGATAATGGTAGGCCAAAAATAGAACGATGGTTTTTGAACGAAAATTTGTTGAAATCTTAATCATTAAAAATAACAATCAGACGAATTTTTTTACGTAAGATATTTGTAGTTCAAGAATATTTTCCTAGGACTTATTTACATAACTTAATTTAAGTTTGCCTTTATCATTATAAAATCAGGCTGGCAACTAGAGAGGGAGGGGGTAATATTTTTGATAATAATGTTATATTTTATGGATCATTAAATATTTATTAGAACATTATCTATTTTGTATAATGAAGAATAGGTTCTTTCATTTATGCATGTATTAATTGGTATTTTTAACATAAAATGGAAAAATTTATTTGTAAAAAACTTATTCTTTCATATCTACATTTAAATTCTGAAATTAATTGGCTCTCAGATACATTTATGTCCTTTTTATTATACCCTATGAATATCAATATGTATTACTTTTAGTTTCTTTCTTTTTTTATAATTAAATATAAACTATAATTAAAATTATTGAGCAAATTTCATTTATATATTTAGGAAGAAATTCTAACGAATATTTCCGAATTGGTGTTTACAGGAATAATTTTAAATAGAACTGGTCTAGGTTTCTATAATCTATTAGGAAATAAATTAATTGATTGTATTGTGACTTTAACGCGATCGCCTATTACTAGAAATCTGGTAATAACTACTCTGTGTTACCCATTGTTGGACTGGGAAGTAAAGTAATTCGAATTTATTATAAACTGCATTTCTATAAAACAAAATATAATAATTATAGCTATCATTATAGATTTCGTCTCTCAACGTCAAAACCTTTCATTTTATTGAATTCCAGAAAAAAATTATTTACTTCCGATGATACTTCTTCTCCAAATATATTTTGTATGCAAAATGTTTGCGGTAATTTAATTATATGATTATGCAATTATTATTTAATTGGGTTATCACATATTGTATATAAATTAGGAAAATTGTTGGGAGAGGATTGTACTCTATCTAATGAATGTTTTCTGATAAATAACGGTATGTGCTTCCAGAATAAATGCGTATGTATTGATAACTATTATCAAACAAACAAGACCTTATGTTCACCTAGTAATTATTAATCAATATAAATACAATTCAAAGTTGAGGCTTTTGTCCTCGAAATCTCTCAATTTTATATCATTTAAAGAGTGCGACATTTTAAAATTTTGATTTCATAGAAAGTTAAATGCTGGTACTATTAAATGACATGAAAACTTGATTTTAGAATTAATTAAAGAAATAATTAATTACAAAAATTTATAAACCAAAATTATTGTAAATAAAAAATATAAATCGAAAATATCTTCTTGAAAATAATATTTTTAACTAAAAAAAAGTACGTCCAAAATATAAAAATTAGTCCCTTTTATAAGGAAAATAAAACGTACAATTATAAATTAAAATAAAATTGGCGCAAAGTGAAAAAAAAACGCTTTTGCTAAAAGGAGTTGTGTTAGTTTTATCTTACATAATTGGAGATAAAACCTATCCCCTTATATTTTCTGGAACTAAAATTTTACCAGTGAATGCAGGACATTCTCCCGGATCTAAATGTCTAACTTATATTTTTCCGAACACCTTACTAAGGACTCCAAAGGAGAAAAACCCCTTAGTAAATAAAAATCACAAAAATTATATGTTTTACTTTTAATATGCACTCAAAACAAAAGAAAAACTTTATTTAATTTTTATATTTAAGAAAAAACAAAAAAAGGATTATAAAAACTATTTTTAATTGAAGTGTACTAGATTAACATAAAATATTTAATACATTCTCATATAGGTTTTATGTTTGTAGCAGAGTTGTTAAAGTATCTAGATACAAGTATCTAGATACTGTATCTAGATATAAAAATGTAGTATCTGTATCTGTATCAAGATAGATTTTTTAGAAAGGTATCTGTATCTGTATCTAGATATTTTTTTAGAGGTATCTGTATCTGTTTTTAGATACTTTTTAAGATACATTTTATATACCCCTTTTTTTATTATAAATAAAAATATTTGACTGTAAAATTTATTTTATTTCATATGAGCTTATGAAATAAATAAATATATATATATTATATATTAATATTTATTAATACTATAATAAAGAATTATATATACATAAAATATTAAAACTTATATATAAAAAATATATATAAATATTCATTAATTTAAATATTATGTCCTAGTTTATCAATAAACCATACAAATTTTAATATTACAATATGGAAATGGTAAATTTTATTTTATAACTAAATTTTTAAGTTTATATATTTATTTAGATCTATATCGATGAAGAAGAGGAAGCAACAAGTTCTATTGCTTTACCATGGCCAAATTGAGCATATTTTAAAATAATATCTCAAAACAAAGAAAACAATTAATTCTCTGATGGTAAAAGGTTTGCCGTGTCTACCTAAAAATACAAAAATATCCGTCAGTATGACTTCAACGTGCAATATCGTGAAGCACATAAGGGTATAGATATTATATATTTAAAATTCTAATTAAAATTTTAAGAGAAAATATCCAACCTTGTTAACAAAAATAAAAAAGGGGAAGGAAAATAAAATACTAAAGAAAATATTGGCAAGGCTCATCCTCCAATAATATTTTTGCTAAAAGACCTTTGACTTAAACTCAAGGCACTTTAGATGATTTAATTATTGCTTTTATTATAGATGGCATGCAGCCATTATAAAAGAAAACAATTGATACAAAGATTAGCTGGTGAATTATCAAAGTCATCAACTGACTGCAAGCAAATAACCTGCCAAAAAAAACAAATAATTTAATTTCAGATTTTTTTCAGTACCCTACAGCAGATATAATTTCTAAATCAACAAATTTTAAATAACTTTTTCAAAAATAAATGTAGAGATTTTAGCATTTTTAAAGAACTGATATAAAATTGTTATTTATTAAATATAACACTACAATTCCTTCAAGCGCCCCTGTGGAAAGACTATTTAGTGTTGCTAAAAATGTCTTCACAGATAAACGAGGATGCCTAAATGATCAAAATTTTGAAAATATTTTATTACTGAAATCTAATAATTATTTAATCATATATTTTCATATATTATATTAAAATTATAATTTTAGTTATAATCTGATAAATGTTATATCGCGTCAATAGATTTTTAGCTCATTTCATGAATTTTTACAATATAATATTAATTTAGGTTTATGCAAACCTATAAGAGCATAAAAAAATGTATCTATATACAGATACATTTAAAAATTGTATCTGTATCTTGATAACTTTTTAGACGCTGTATCTGTATCTGTATCTAGATAACTTTTGAGACTATGTATCTGTATCTGTATCTAGATCCAGTTAAAAAGTATCTTTTAACAACTCTGGTTTGTAGTATCTCTTTTTCTCGTTGATTGCCTTGGTTATGTCAATTTACCAACCACAAACCTGACATCATTATTTAGAATTTATTAACACCCGTAACCAGCCATTGTAAAAAAGTTACTTTTGCATTATCTTCCTTCAGTTCTAATAATACTTATTGCTAAAAATGTCATTTAATTTAATTATCTCAATACTATTTAATAAAATCATTAATATAATAGGTGACAATATTTCTAAAATAATTCTATTAGTAAATAAATAATAGCTAAAGTAGAAATATGAAGATGGCAGTAGTTGTGAAATTTAATCTTCGATTTTCTATTTTTAGTATAACCCTCAGTGGCGTAGCTACGGGGGTGGTTTTCGGGTTTGGACCCCTCCCAGAACAAAAATTTATTTTTAGATTATACGTTCAAAAGACTTATAAGTGGTGACTTTATATCAAATAAATACCAATAATATTTATATTTTTCTGGTTTTGATGTTTGTGGAAGGATATTTTATTACTATTGAAATTATCTGGATAGTATTATTATAAAGTCATTGAGAATAAGCTACTAAATTATAAAACAAATTATTGATGCATTTAAAAAATATATTTATTATATATTATCTAAGATATGGTTATGATTTGATAAACTCCGGCCGAAGGCCGGGCAAAAGGGGGTCCGGGGGCGAAGCCCCCAGGCTTTTATATGTATGGACCCCTCTAAGGAAAATTCCTAGCAACGCCACTGATAACCCTCATATAGTTGGCTTGAAGAAATAAATTAGTTAATATTAATGTTAAAGATGGGATTTTATAAAGAATAAGTGCTCTTATGCTATCCTCTGCAATAGTTCTATTAAAGAAAGACGATGCGCTACCACTGTACCAGCTTTTCGTCAACAAATAAATAATTTATTAAGGGTATGATCTAAATAGTAAGTTAAATAATTATCTACCTCTTTTTGACAAAAAATTTATTATTTTATATTTTAAGTTTTAAATGCTATGCTTTAAAATTGTTAAATGCTACTTTTAAATAAGTATTAAACTAGAAAGAGCTTCCAAATTAAAAAAATCTGTTTTTTATTAAAATAATGTATCGTACAGGGTGCTCAACATTGCGTTTTGATATCTTTAGAACTTTAAAACTAATGTGTTTTTTTTATTTTTTAATGAAACTCAATACCCATAAATTTTTTTAGAATTCGAAAATGCTAAAATTTGATATCTCATTTTTTTTTCTAAATAAGCTTCATATGTTCCCTTTAATAGACTATAAAAATTAAGATTTATTTAAAAAATTTCATAATAAACGAGTCCCTATACCAATTATTAAAGAAATGGACATTGATTATAGGAAAACAATTTAAGCAAAGCCATTGTAAGTTTCGAAAGAATAATTTCAAAAGCACCTAGGTTCATATACTAATCTATTCCCGCAACACTAGCAATAAATAAATTAGCGCGAATAGTAGTGGTGTTATTTATAATTAACAATAAAGAAAAAATCTTAGCCCAACATATTTTAAATGTAGCTGCTGAACTTAATTATGACCAAAATAAAAATTAAGCTTTAGCCAATATATTTGGTTTATTTAAAATTAAGGAATTGTATAAAATCATTTTATAGATATAATGGGCCCCCCGTTGATATTTTTAGTGACACTTCCTTATCCGGCATCTAATCTGGTTTAAGGTTGATAAAAAAAAATTTAGTAGATTGCATGGATTTTGAATAGATCACAGTCTTTGATTTGGAAAAAATCAATGAGCGTAACTGGCAATACACCAAGGCTAATAAAGATGGGAACAACGATTAAATACAAAATTAGATTCTAATAGTATAGAAGTTTGACACATTCTTAGCTAGAGGAAGGAAGCGCAGTGACTGAAGAAACGAGAAAGTAGGAAATGATAAGGCAGAAATAGAAGTGGAACCATAATAAAATATGAATTAAAAAAAAAGAGATAAGAACGTTCTATTATTAAATTTGAACATAATTTATATTTTTAACTTGTTTGGTTTATTATCAATGTGATATTAACTATTAACGTTATTTAATCCTTGACGTGTTTAGATTGATATGAACATGATATTATTTTGTAAGGTAAATTTTATTATATTACATGCCAAAAAAACAATCAGTTTGTCATTTACATAAATATAAAATGGTACAATTTTGCATTTTTAAATTTGACAAAATGTTCTAAGATTTACAAACGTCAATCCAACCGTTATAAATATTAGCTCAAACGGATTTTAAAATAATCTGTCTGATAAATATTATTCTTTTCCCAAATAACTGAGAGTTTCCATTGGTTTACGTCTAGCTTGTGACATCGTAGCCACATGCTTGTAACAAATGCAAATAACCCGTCTATTTATATGTAATTATATATAGTTATGGGCAACACCAAAGCTACTCAGCTATAAAGCCATGTAATAAATTGAGGCTTAAATACCTCCCACACTAACCTTCTTGTACCCACTAATTTATATCAAGTTTATGGCTTAAGTAAGTATCATGCCTATCACTAATATGGGATTACACATACGTCTCTTCATTCCCCTCTAACATAAATATCAACAAAACACAAGCAGAGACAAATAGGATCAAAAAATAAAAAAACTTTAATTTCTTATTTACTATAAAAGTGACTTCAATAAACCGTTATTTTTTGCAAATAACCTATAAGTTTTTAAAATTATATGCATAAAAATCTAGCTTTTTACAAACAAAGCTAAAATTTACATATAAGTAAAAATTTTAGATAGAAATTTTTAGATATAATCATGGTTCCTTTTTGGGAACAAATTATATTTTTAATTTTATAGTGTTTTAAATATTTTGATAGAAATTTTTAATAAATAATTATTTTATAAAAAAAATATTAAAAAAAATTTAACCATTTTGAAATCTATTGCTGATAAAAAAATAATATCTATTGAAAATTTGACAATATTTAGGTGATTATACACTAGTGACGCAAAATCGCTCCATCTGAGACATTTTTTAAAAATGGCTAATTAAATATTTTAACCAGAAAAATGTCTAATCCTTTGTGCCATCGAACAAAATCTTCAGGCTTGTGTAATATTTTTGTAGATAAAATTTTAAGCAAATTAATAAGGGCTCGACATCCTGCTTCCCATAAATTTATTACTTCATGCAAATACAAATGCAGTCTTTCTCCAATTAATAGGATCTTAATATAATAAGTATCTATTGTAGATTTTTTTGAGAGTTAAAGAAATAGACAAGTTTAATTAAAAGGCTTTTTAAAATATTATTAGTCATTAAATGTTAATAATTTTCTTATAATTTTTATATTTAACGTATATTATAATTTTGTAATACTTATAAGTTTTTTAAAATCATAATATATTTAAGGAAAATCATATAAATTTATATAAAAATAAAAAATTTACATCATATTTTTTAAAAAAAGATATTATTTTAAATATAATAAGTTGCTACTATCTAATTTATATTTAATATAAATAATTTGCAATTTATAGAGAAAGATCTTTTTGATCCCTGTCAAATCAACGTTGAATGTAAATCTTCAAATTGTGACAATTTTATATGCATGTGCAATTTATCAGAATATATGGAAGATAGAGAATGCCATAAAGGTTAAAATTACCAAAATATTGGGTAACTCGCTGAATCACGGGGGAATTTTTAACAATATTTTTTTATATTTATTTTTTTTTTAAATTAAAAAAAATTTTTTTATTGTTTGGTCTGGTAGAATGAAGTCTTTTAATTTTAACAATTTAGCCATAAATTGTCTTATTTGGTAGAATAATTTGAGCGATATAATTTTATAAAATTATAATAACTGAAAACAAAGAGTATCAATTAAATTATATTTAATTTTATGGGTCATTCAATTTCAACGATTTTAAACCCATCGATGCCCAAATTAAACAAGTGCATACTTTTAAATCTAAAAATAACTATTTCTTTTTTGATATTAACCTTTTTTCACAAAATTTTTTTTATTCTAATAAGTTCATTAATTATTTAATATTTGATTTAATTGTCCTAACTATTTTATTGTTTGTAATTTATGCGATACAATTTTAATAAAATTATAATAACTGAAAACAATATTATATAGATGAGTATCTATTAAATTATATTTAATTTTATGGGTCATTCAATTTCAAAGATTTCAAACCTAACAATGCCCTAAATTAAACAAATGCTTACTTTTAATTTATAAATCTAAAAATAACTATTTCCTCTGAAATATCAACCTTACTCATAAAAAAAATTTATTCTAAAAAATTGATTAATTTGATTTAATAGTCCTAACTTAATAGCTTCATAGAACACGTCTTGTTTTTATCGTGAAATTAAAGAAATATGAAAATTTTCACTAAATTTTTAAATATACTCCATTTTATTGTAAAATTAATGAATTATGATAAAAATTTCCACCAAAATGCAGATGATCA